GATAATATTCCAACCAATTACAATTAATTAAATTCAATAGACCTCAAGCTTTATGTTCCTAATAACGAACTTCATTTATATCACACAGTAATCTAACCGTAGAATCAAATTTCACTTAGAAGAGAATCTCACCGTCCATTTCAACGATAGGATTCTGAACCTGAATCCTATCAGAGCCACCAGAAGAGGCAAAACATCGAACAGATAAAGCGCGACGAAACTGAACCGGAAAAGCGACGCGATTCCTCGAGAACACACCGGAGCTGAGAAATCGCGGAGACTTCCATGAAGACGATAAAGCAGCAGCAGCAGCAGAGGAAGAAGTAGACGAAGAAGATAACATCATGACGCCGGCTCGGTAGATGAAACCGCCGCGTGTGAGGTTGTTCAGCATCCGAGAGAGACTCCGCTCTTTCTCTCGACTTCGATCACTGAGTGAATACGAAGCTTAGGGGAAAGTTTGTCGCAAAAAGGCGTAAAGCACGATTCCGGCGAAGTGGAAGGAGAGAAGAAGAGAACCGTATAGATTATTTTAGTGGGCCTAAATTAAAACGTAAGAAAGGCCCATTTAGATTTTAGCATAACTCATTAGCGGAACATATTTGGGCCTGATTAAATGGGTCGAGTTAGTTTTAGATTCAACTAAAACGAAGATTAAGCCCGTTAGAAACGAACAGGCGCATTCATCAGTCATCACTAGTCCTGGGCATTCAGGTTTTCGGTTTGGATCGGTTCGGTTTATTGGGTTTTCGGATTATTCGGGTTGGGATGTTTATGAACCGTTTAGGAACCGGTCATTTTTCGGATCGGTTCCGTTCGGATAATGTTGGGTTCGGATATGGTTCCTACTTTTTTATAAAACCCGAAGTGAAACCGTGTCACAAATAATTCGGGTTTGAAGTCCAATAAACCGAAAAATTTCGAAAACCCGAGATAAATCCGAAAAAATATTCGGGTTCTTCGGGTAGTTCGAATTTTTTTAAATATTTTTATTTATAAATTATATTTTATATATATTAAAATTAAAATTAATTAATATTTTTAATATATTCCAAATATTCAGGTATCCGTTCGGTTTTTCGGATTTAGAAATATAGAAACTGTACAGGTTTTGTAATTTTCGGACCGATTTCAGTCTCGGTTTTTTCGATCCGGTTCCGGTTCGATTTTCGGATAATATGCCCATGACTAGTCATCACTCTTCCTACGCTCTTTCTCTGTGCGTCGGAATATATCTCTCTAGAGAGTGTGTAGAATAATCACAGGTCTCTCTGCTTTTAGATTGTTCACTGGGCTAATCTAATATACACTCTCCCTTTTATCTCTCAAACTCTCCTAGTAGGTGTTATCTATATTAAACATTCAGAGTATTAATAATTTAATCTAGAACCAAAGGTTATGTCACGTTCGTTGTACATACTCCCATGTAACTGCAGCGAGTCAAAGACCGTTACATACATTAGTTTTTTTAACAAATAAAAAAAAAGTCTAAATCATCCGTGGGACCGTGGCAAGAAAACAATAAACGACACAGGTTACGTTACATGAAAAGCTAATAATAATATTGAGAAGGCTAACTCCATTACTAACATATGCATGTGAGTGTGAACATACACATTAGAGGTTTAGTCACTTAGACAGCGAGGAAGGAACACTGCTTTCGGGCGTGGTCAGGTATAAGCTTGGACAACAGCTCTACGCTTGCTCCTTTAAGCTCTACAATTCAAGAGAAAGAAGATAAACAAACTTTACTTTAGTAAGTAAAAGTAGAAAACAAACAAATGCATATTCAATATCTGGAGGAGACAGACCTTGAGGTTTAAAGTTGAAGAGAGGAGGTAAGGGACGACCATTAGGTAGACGTGTATTGGGATCACGTAGCTCATCGAAGAACGGGTGAACTATTGCCTCCATCTACACAATCAACAAGTTACTGAATAAACCAAATATAATATTTGCATATGTGACGTGAAAAGAGTGAAGATTTCATGGACTTTACAGCGGTTGATCTGAGGTTTGGAGAATACTGGAGAAGTCTTGAGGCGAGATCTACAGCTTCTGGAGGAGTACGCTTATGGAATATCTTAAGAACCAACCAAGAAAACAGTTTTTTTTTTTCAATCATTGAGACTTCAAAAAAAGTAAAGAGAATATTTGACTAACTGATGATATTTAATTTGCTTACTTTGTGCCAAGGGTGAGCCTTTATCTGAGGGAATTTATATTCAGTGTAGTTTGGATTCATACATTTGATTTCCTCTCGAGTTGGTGTTCCAAGAACCTATGAACACACAATAAGAAATAGTAACTGTAATCAATGGTACGAAATGTAGACTATTCACTGTTATGGGTGTTCAAACCATACCCTAATGATCTCAACTAGTTGGTCGACTCCACTCTCACCTGGAAACAGAGGCTACAAGTAATGGTAAACAAACAACTTTAGACATCATTCAAAGATTCACAAAATAAATGGTGGAAAAATAATTAGGACATCATTCAAAGTACCTGTCCAAGGAGTAATTCAGCAAGAACACAGCCTGCAGACCATATGTCAATAGCTGTTGTGTATTCTGTCGCTCCAAATATAAGCTCAGGTGCTCGGTAGTAACGGGAGCAGATGTATGAGATGTTTGGTTCGCCTTTCACCTGTAGTAGCAAAGCGCCAAAGATTAAAAAAAAAAAAAAGGTTATGTTCAGCTTACACTACATTTTTTTCATATGAAAACAGATTCAACATATCTTTTAACACATAATAGATGATGCTATACCAGAACTTTAGCGCTACCAAAGTCGCAGAGCTTGACCTGATGTGTATGAGGATTAACCTACAAGAAGCACAAAGATTAATCAAGCAGCCGCACATAGACAATAAATGCTTTTAACCAAGTAAACGAACCAGAAGATTCTGTGGTTTAATGTCTCTGTGGCAGACTCCTACTCCTCCATGAATGTCTGCCAGAGCTCTGCAAATCTGCATCCACAATAGAATAATCAGTGCAAACAATATTGAATCAACCATAACGTTTTTTCAGATTATGAAACCACATATTCATTACCTGATATGTATAGAGTTTGACATATATCATGGGCATCCTCTGGTTAGCCCGACTATAATGCTTTGAGACGCGATAGACAGTCTCAGGAACGTATTCAAGGACCAAATTGAGATACAGCTCATCTTTCTCGGTGGTTGAGAAAAAGCAATGCTTGAGGGAGACAACATTAGGGTGATCAAGAAGGCGCATGGTTTGCAGCTCACGGTTCTTGTATCTCTTGTCCTGCAAAACTTTCTTTATCGCAACAGTTTCTCCCGTTTCTAAACACTTTGCCTGCAGACAAGTAACGAGACTAAGTCTTTGCGCCAATCTCTATCTCAGTAAATCAACTGTTACACAGTATGTGATCATAAACACAAACCTGAAAAACGATTCCAAATGAACCTTGTCCAACAATACGCTCTGCCATGTAACTTATGGTCTGAAAAGGCATACCAAAAAATAAGTTATCAGAGATTTCAAAAAAATTTAATATCTAATTTACACATGAGACATTAATTACAAATTAGACATTGCACCAATTGCAAGTTTCTCTAGCTTTCATGTAAAAGATTTAGTCTTTGCGCTATTAATGTATATGCATATTCATCAAAAACATAGGGTTAGAGAAGCTAACCTGTTTAGGCTGACCATTTTTACCACCAATGGTTGTAACAATGATGTGACCAGTCTCAGTTCCATTCCCATCAACCACAGCTGCTTCCATTTCCTACAAAAGAGTTCAGCAACCAAAGAAAACACACATTAGTAACAAACTAAAGAGACTATTAGTATGTCCACAAGCTTGGAATGTAAAGATTCTTCAACCTTATCATCTTTAATTTTCATCTCATTAATCCCTTCAGGTAGTTTATCAACACATGCAGAATCATTGTTCTGTTTTGTAGCCATAGAAGAAGGTAATGTTCCCACAGAAGCCATTCTAAAACAACTTCAAATCCAATTCCTGTAAATCTGTGAAGGCCAAAAAAACACACAATACAAAGGTTTTAGAACAAAACACAGAGACAGTGAAGAAGATCTACAAAAGTTTAAACATAGATTCAGACAGAAAAACATGCATAAACATTCACTGTCCTAACGAGAATCACACTCATCTACAAAACTAAAAGGTTTGTCTCAGAGTTGAGCTAAAACAAAGAGGAAACCGCCCGAATCTGTCGAAACGGCGTCGTACCAGAATGTATCTGCCGCAGTTTCTCTACACCATCTTGTTTCAGAAGTAACTAGAAACCCTAGAAAACTCTCTCTTCCTTGCCGAAAACAACAAATCTCTCTTTTGAGTTCTCTCTCTTTCTGTGTATTCAGAGATATTGCAGGAGGAAGCGGACCCCAATAGGTAGTTTCAAAGTTATAGTTGATAGTTAGTTTTGACGTCCGCGCTAAAGGGAAAGAGTGAACGTACACGTGGCGTGGTTTGGTTGGAATAAACTTAAACTCACGTCATTTGTGTTGACTGCTTTTAATGTTTTAATTATTTTTCTCTATAGTTGGGTGTATAATAAGCATCATCTTTAATAGACGGTTTGATTTTTCAGCAGAAAAAAGAAAAAGAGAGATTTGATTCGAACGGCTTAAAATTGAGAGAAGAGTAGGAAACGTATTTTGAAGCTTGGCGTAGGTTGTTGATTCTCGTTCCTCTGCTTTTTCGGTATTTGTTTAATTATAAATTATTAGTATAATGTTTGTTTTGTCAGAGAAAAGGTAACCTGAGTTACGAAATCGCCACGTCAGCATAAAGAGACAAAAACAAAAGGTTCGCTCAACGATGTCCGACCGTTGGCTCACGACACGAAAATAGGCTTTTAAAACTGGCATGGGCTGGGCTATTTTTGTTGAAAATTTGTTGGGCTTTCTAATGAATTAGGGTTTTTTTCTTTTATTGGGCTTAATAAAACGCTGCCGTTTGACTGGAGACTGAATACGTTTCCGCTTCTTCTCGTCGGGGTTAGAGAGATACTCAGCGGAGGAGGAGGAAGGAGGAGTAGCAAAGACTGAGGATGGAAAGCTCGGACGCTAATTTTCCTGTGCGCCATCGAAATTTCTCACTAGAAACTAAGGTAATTTGCAAAATCTAATCTAATAATTTTCTTTGGATTTTTCTTTTCTCGAATCTTAGTGTGAAGATTATTTGACCAAATATAATTTACATCCATTTTAGTATGTTCAAAACAAAATACTTTACTGTTGTCAAAGATAATCAGATGATAGTGTTTTGTTTAAAATTTGTTTTGAAAGGGAAACAAGACAGAGATTGTGATCTGCAGCTATGAAGATCATATCCTTGTGAGTTGTGTCTATTTCTAGGAGCTTACTTCACCCTAAGTCTTATTAGTGTCTGAAGCTCGACACAACTTTGTTTCAGGTCATAGCAACACAGATTGGAGCTATGGGAACTATATTGCACGCAAGGTCTCTCCCTTGTACATTTCCTGATGAGTGAACTTGAGATGAGAGTTCTTTATTTAATCCATCTCTTGTTTTCTTCTTTAATCTAGCGATTGGTAATGAACATCTGCCTTTTTTTTTTTAATGTTTCAAACTGATTATTGTTTGTTGACAGGAAGGAAGAAGGGATGTCTGTTGAACCAACATTTAGTGTCTCAGTGATATTCGGAAAGCGAGATGAGGTAATAATCTTTTTAACTATATTGTAGTACATTTGCACTGTTAATACCTGACAATTTATTTTGTTCATTATGTTTCTTGAAGCCAATGCTGATAGCAACTGCTAGAAGACTCATTGACCACATAAGGTCTCTCTCTCTCTCACCTTCAACTACTGATTCTTGATCCTCCTCCGTTGTGATTTTCCTTATGTCTGAGTAAACTGATAGCAATCCGTTTTGATTTCTTCAGTTCTTATGTTCCCTCGAAGCCGCTGGTTCTCTCACTTGGTCTCAAAGATCATTCTTCGGTACTTTACACTTTTCTTGGAAATATTTGATTTGATTCTCGGAAAGAGTCTGCACAAAGCAAATGATACTTAGAGATTATGTGTTTCTGTCGTTGTAGGAGACGTTGAAGGAAATAGTAGAAGCCGTGATCGAGAATCGCCTTTGGTAATACATTTCAATCCGTTCAAAGGATAACGAGAAGATGTTTTATGCTTTGCTCTTGGTTGATATAACTAGTGATCTGCCGTAATTCAACGATATAAAAGACCTTGTTTTGATATATAAAAGTTGTGTCATCAACTATCTTTTCATCTCAATTGTTCTTTTTTTTACAGAATCATAAATAAACATAAAAATAACACAAACGATGTAATTTATAGCACATCATGCCTCACAAGACGAAGACAAACATTGTAGTAGTAGTACTTGTAGTAGTTCTAGCGGTCACATAACTTTAACCTGTCTAATAAAATTACACCCAATAAATATTGTACAGCAAAAAATAATATACATAGAGAGTTCGGTTTTTAATCAATAACTATTTGATGTCAAAAAATCAATAACTATTTAAGATTTATTCTAATAGGGTATTACAATGTGTTGTGGTTTGAAGAATATAACTGTAACATAGTAAATCTATGAGTTTCAACGAATATATAGCTACATACTATGTAAAGTAAAAAAAAGTGCTTTTCAAAATTATAGTAGTATGTTCTAATTATAACTATTGAATATATAACATACATTTATCAGAATTGAAAATCAGAATATACATCTTACATTTATCAAAAAAATATATCTATCTAAATAAGAATAAAAATCAAAAATTTCATATCCTTATTCAGATTCATGTGTTCAAATTGAACTTAAGCCACACAAAAAAATCTTGATGCGAATCAAAATTTATAAATTTTTATCAAATCATAAAATTTTAATTCAAAAATGTAAATGATCATTAAATATTTTTGCGCAGTCATCCGGTCAAAATCTAGTACTCCCTCCGTTTCATATTAAGTGTCGTTGTAGAGAGTTTTTTGTGTTACAAAATAAGTGTCGTTTTCGGTTCTCAATGCAAAATTTATTAATTTTATTATGTAATGTGTTTTTCTATTGGTTAAAATATGGTTAGGTGTATGGGTAATTGTATTTTTATATAGGAAATATGTAAAATTAATTGTTTCCTTAATCCGTGTGCACAGCTGTTGAGTGACACTTATAATGAAACAGAGGGAGTAATAAATAAAGTGAGGTCAATAATCTCAATCATCAAACCATTCAACTCTGAATCCACACCACATGTCTTGTAATTGTATTAACTTAATTTTGTTTATTACAAATGTGGTACTAGCTAGGCATATACTGCCGCCCACCTTTTTCAATATATTCCAGTTTGTTAAAATCGTTTTTCAGATAAAGTGTAAAATCGATAATTATTTGGAATGATGAAGTAATTTATAAACTTCAACATTAATCCTTTCTTCGTCGGATCTTAGTTGGTGTTGGTGGTAGCGAAGGTGACGGTAAAGACTCCGTTGTTGAATTGGTGGCTTATGATCTCGGTGTTGTAGGCATGGTATTTACATTATTAAAATTGAAGTATCTTTTTACTGTTTGAAAACATGAATAATATGATAAATAAGATTTTTTTTAGAAACATAAATAGTAAATTAAATATTTCATTTTATTTATACATTTAGCCATTATATTTACAATAAATTAAATATTTTTTAACATTTCATTTATTTACAGATTCTGACATTGCATTTAAAAAACAATTTAAATTAATTAATTAAAATGGTTGTTGTTTCTTTATAATACATTATTACCTTTCTTAGTTTAGACAAATATAAAAATTGTGAGAGTTCAATTTTAAAGAAAAAAATCATAAATTAACAATAATTCATAGAAAAATAATGCCAAAAAAAATTATATTTTATTTCATTTTAAAATAAATTAACAAAAAACAGTATGTTAATATATGAATAGTAAAATTACATCAAAGTGCATCAATAAGATTAAAATTTTTAATATAACATTATGTACAAATAAAAAAAATACTATCAAACATCTATATTATAAAATAATATATTATATTATATATGTAAATTACAAAACATAAATGATATACATATGATTTTTTTTTTCTAAAACTGAAAGTTTATGAGTTTACGTTAAACACACACGTGGGAGCATGGATCAAATTCTAGTTTGAATATTATAGTTCCATCGTAATACCTCATCGCATATTGCATTCCCACGTCGTGAATTGCGTCACCTTCATCTTCCTTGGCCGTAAAGCGTAGCTTGTTGAGATGAACATAAAAGGTATCCAACTTGCTACAGCCCGGAAGGTCGATCTTCCCATGTCGCATGGTAAAACCCTGTTGCATACTGCATTCCCACGTCGCGAATCGCATACTGCATTCTCATGTTGCGATTAGATTGATGAATATGAGTAATGCGGGTATATATATAAGATTTTGGTACATTCCAAAAAATTCTTACAAAGTTGATCATCAACAACATATAATAAACTCACTATGCAATAAGTGGTTACAGTTGTGTATAGCACCAAGCGATAGAGCTGATCTAATGTTTCATATCTACTTTAGCTAAATTTATTCTTCAATGAAAACTCCAGAAATTTGTAATATCTATCCGTTTAGTAACTTCATCTAACCAACTCTACAACATGTACCAAATATTAATTTACATAATTGTAGAGTTAAAAAATAATATTGTTTCTTACAAGTCCAGACAAGATTCTTTTACGTTGAGATTACTTTTATTTCTTTTTTACTTAGTGAATTATTAATCAAATGATTTTGTTATACAAATTGACATAAAAATTAAAGGGTGAATTAGCTAAATACCAGCAAATACTGAGATACCATCAAAGAGGGGGGAAAAAGTGGTAAGTGAAAAGGAGAGAGATAGAGGGAAATAGGGTATATACCTAATTTGGTGGTTTTGTGCGTACACAGTGCAAAGAATCAAAATTAAAAGGGAATACCTATAACATAAAATAAATAACATATTTTACTTATATTTTCCTTTATATTTCCTCAAAAATTCATAAACAAAAATCTCAATATACTTTTTCCACAGTTTCGAAAAGTAGAATATGTAAAAGTAACAATAGGCTACATGCTACTATAGATTATATATGGTGGAATATGTATATATATATATCTATATATATGTGTAAGTACATTAACTTTTAAAGAAAAACAATCACATTTCCACTTCTTGTTTCTCTCCAAAGAAGATGTTCTTTAGCACCAAATCCTTCCTCTTTTTCATGACCTTCACCAGTTGCTTAGCTTTGGCGGTTGATGACTTTCCTTCATGGATCGACAAGAACAACACTTCCAAGGTAATCGAGTGATATTATTCTACATATTCTTTTTTTTTCTTTTATTATTCTACATATGAATAAACCCTTTCATGTGTTAATGAATTGTGTTTCTTCTGCTCGTTTTGATATGAAATTTCTCGTGACCATTTTACAAACAAACTTGGAAGTCCTTTATTTGAGCAAAACTTGGAAGTCCTTTTTTGAGCAAAACTTGGAAGTCTTTAAGAATTTTTGTTTTCCCGTCAATGACGAGGATCAAGGGCAAATGATAGAGAGTCTAGGCCCATTATAATTGAACTGACGAATATGTTATTGTATCATATAAAAATTCCTTCCAAAGCAAATTATTTCTCGCCATATCTGTTTGTCTTGTATTTGTTTCAATCTCTTATCCTTTGCTTCTTGATGATCTCTGAAAACTAGGAACTCTGTGTTTTTATGAGCTTAAAGACAAAGCAAAGAAAATTGATAGTTTTGGTAATTAATTATTGACTACAAAAGGGTAAATACTTGTTTATTAGTTGTACATCGCTTTCTCAGTGACTTCATAAAATCATTAGATTCTATAACTTTTTTTCTAAAACTGAAAGTTTATGAGTTTACGTTAAACACGCATGTGGGAGCATGAATCAAATTCTAGTTTGAATATTATAGTTCCATCGTAATACCTCATTGCATATTGCATTCCACGTCGCGAATTGCATCACCTTCATCTTCCTTGGCCGTAAAGCGTAGCTTGTTGAGATGAACATCAAAGGTATCCAACTTGCTACAGCCCGGAAGGTCGATCTTCCCATGTCGCATGGTAAAACCCTGTTGCATACTGCATTTCCATGTTGCGAATCGCATACTGCATTCCCATGTTGCGATTAGATTGATGAATATGAGTAATGCGGGTATATATATAGGATTTTGGTATGTTCCAAGCCAATCTTACAAAGTTGATCATCAACAGCATATAATAAACTCACTATGCTAGAAGTGGTTACAGTTGTGTATAGCACCAAGCGATAGAGCTGATCTAATGTTTCATATCTACTTTAGCTAGATTTATTCTTCAATGAAAAGTCCAAAAATTTGTAATATCTATCCGTTTAGTAACTTCATCTAACGAACTCTACAACAGGTACCAAATATTAATTTACATAATTGTAGAGTTAAAAAGTAATATTGTTTTCTTACAAGTCGAGACAAGATTCTTTTACGTTGAGATTATTTTTACCTATTTGACACAGCTAGAAATTATTTTTATTTCTTTTTTACTTAGTGAATTATTAATTAAATGATTTTGTTTTACAAATTGACAAAAAAATTAAAAAATAATACCTATAACATAAAATTAACCATAACCTAAAGGCAAATTAATATATACTTGGCCATTAATTAAAAATAAATTTCATTAATTTGAAAATTATCATTATCTAAAAATATTTTATATTATATTATAACGTCTTTATTAACGTTAATAAACAATTATATTTGTTAATATAGAGTTAAATATAAATTTAAACAAATTTTTCATTGATTCGATAATCATCATTGTTCAAAAATCGTTTATGTTGTGCTGTTCAAAAAAAATATTTTACATCAGATTTTTTATCACCCTTAATTTATAATTATATTTATTAGTATATAATTAACTATAAACTAAAACGAATTAATATATAATTAATCTTAAGTAAAAACAAGTTTCGTTGATTGGATGATTATCATTATCTAAAAATAGTTTATATTAATTAATCATAACATAAAAGCAAATTAATATATAGTTGGCCATTAATTAAAAATGAATTTCATTGATTTGATAATTATCATTATCTAAAAATGATTTATAATATATTATAAAGTAATTATTAATGTTAATGAACAATTAGATTTGTTAATGTATAATTAACTATAAATTAAAAAAAATATTCATTGATTTGATATCATCATTGTATAAAAATATTTGTGTTGTGCTATTCAAAAATATATTTTACATCAGATTTTTTTAAATATTATTTAAAAAAATAAATCCCTACATATATTGTATACAAAAATAAAGCATATATTTAATGTTTTCTAATTTATTTTACACTATAAAAGATAATTTTATTATATTGACAAAATTATATGTAAAAAATTAATTTAATTTATACCTAAATATTTTAAAGCATTAGTGTTTTTAAGTTTATGTTACGTGATAAAAAATATTTATGTCACCATAAAAACTTGTATACAAAGATAGTTTATTGTTTAATTTTTATTAAAAAAAATTGAATGTATAATACTTTTAATTTTATTTCAACTGATAAAGTATTTGCATTAAAATATTTGTAAAATTTGTTGTAAGCTAATGAAAAAGAATAGATTGGGTGATGTGATTAGGCTTCCAGCTAAACCATCCTTCCAGAGGATATCTTCCAAGGTGATCGTCTCATTTAACAGTTTGAGTCTGTGGGGAGCTAGAAAGAAAAACTAATCCTCAAGTTAACGTGGCAGCTTTTCATATTGCTAATAGCGTATCACTATTGATCTTGCTTAATCATATTTGACATGTGGTTATCCAAGTTGGCTTTCTTATTCTTTTTGTCGAAGAAAGTTAGTTGTTATATGTTTGTTTTTGACTATGATTGTATTAAAGCTTTTGATCAGGCTTGAATGGTCAGTACTTGTGTTTAATATGATGAATGTTTTCATTTCTTTTTTTTATCAAACACAATTTCATTGATAATAAAAGTCTTACACTCTATCAAAGGAGGATGAGTTTAGTAATGAGAGGGCTGATTTTGCCACCGAATTAGCCATCACATTATTCAAACGAGGTACATACGAAAAAGAAATAACATCAAATAAATAGTTAAAATGGTAGATGTCGAATAAATAAATACCGAACAAATCTGGTACCGAATCTATTTCCTTCACAAACTTCACTAAGAATTGAGAATCAGTCAGAATCATTAGGGATCTAACATTCAACGTAACCGTCGAACGAACAGCGAGGGCCTCAGCCATAAACGCCAATGATACGAGAATACGAGAGGTGGAGATGGAAGAAGGGCACACGCACAGTCTCTCACCTGAGAATATGCCACCTGTCTTGCAGTTTCTGGTTTCTGCATCCCAAACTCCATCAACGTTGCAAATAAGAGTACCAGCTGGGGGAGTGGGAGATGTCGTGCGTGTGAGCTCCCGGAGCCTATGGAGCCATGGTGCTCGGTAGTGGGGACCTGATTCTGCGCAGATTGCCATTCCCTCGCATCGGTGATGGCTTTGACCACGATGTCCATAGCCAAGAAGCTTCTACGATGAATGTTTTCAGTGATAAAAAATAAGCATAAGACATGGATCCATCCATTAGTATTTAGTTGTTTATTTTTCACGACAACTATATCAATCAGGGTTTTAAAACAATGACATAGATATTGTTCTCTAGATAGGAGAGAAGGATGGGATTCAGTTTGTAATTTGACGAGGATCTTTTTTGGCGCTGGTGTCTCATTATCAAGATCTAATCAAACAAGTTTATTCAAATGTAATTAAAATATAATTAACCAAAAAGAGAAAGAGAATTTTTTTATTTTTTAAATAATATATTCGGGCAGGGGAGATTATGAAAAGGAAAAAAAACATTAATATCAGCCACGAGGCAAATCGCGTATACGACACCGTTTTGAAGTACACCAATACGGAGTTCATCGCCTGTAGTATTTTCAACAAAGAGAAGACTTCTCGCTCTCTCTCTCCCACTCGCAATTTCAAATTATCATTTCCTCAAAGGTCAGCGACTTCCGAGTCCACGGCGTTTCGTTATCATACTCCGAACCTACTACGTTACGCCACCGCTTGATTCGCTGGTAAAATTGCTAACCGAATTGAGATCTTCTAAGAGTTCTCGAGTGAGATCGTGTTTTTTGTTGTTGTTGTTGTTGTTATTAGTAAAATTGCTTGAAGTTCGAAATGTAGATCTATCTATGCTGCGATTTGAGTTAAAAAGAGCTTTATACACTTGAAATTCATCGAGATCTGTGCTGCAATTTCGAGGATTTTATTGTTTAGGTCGTTGATGAGCTAGAAAACGGATTTGACTTGAGTGAGTGTCTCACTTTAGGCAGTATCTTTTAGAACGTGTGTGAAGTAATTTCGAGAATGTACTTTTTGTGTAAAATCATATTTAACCGTGAGTTGATTAATTACAGTATCTATTCTCGCAGGTAACTTCACGTATGGAGAGTAATACTTTAAAAGATTTGAATACTCTTCCTGTAACTGAGACGATGAGTGAATGTTTTAAAGAAAGCTTAGCCAAGCCTTGTGTTGCGAAAATGAATGCAAAATCTGAAGATAGACCATTACCTAGCAGCACTATTGCTTTGAATCCCACTAGCCTTGGAGAACCAGAGAAAGCAACCGTGGAAGTTGAATATATTGAATCAGAGAACTTGGATAATGTAGACCATGCTGATGCAGTTCTCAAGGTATATTTCATGTATATCCATGTATTTTATATTGAATATATGATTTTCTTTACGCAAGATGAATTAGTTTGGTTCTTTTTTTTTTTTTTTTTTTTTTCTTCAGATGGTTCTAGCTGGTCTGGACTCCAAGGATTGGGTATCTGTCTGTGAGGCTCTTAATAATGTTCGTCGGCTTTCCATATTCCACAAAGAAGCAATGTTGCCTATACTGTAAGCCATGTTCTCTATACTGATATCTATTACTTTATTATCTCTTAAAGTAGATTGTAAAATGGAAGTCTCACTATGCTATATATACCCTTTCACAGAGAAAAAGTGATCCCACTTGTCGTGAAATCACTGAAAAATCCGAGAAGTGCGGTATGTAAAACGGCATGCATGACATCAGCAGACATCTTCAGTGCATATAACGACCATATAACAGATCTGTTGGATTCTCTGGTAGCTCTTTATTCACTTCCTCATTGTGTTCGGTGATTGGATTTTACTTGTTCTTACAAAAGTTTCATACACAACACTATGCTCTCAGCTTACTCAACTCCTCCTCAAGTCTTCTCAAGATAAAAGGTTTGTCTGCGAGGCAGCAGAGAAAGCTTTAACATCAATGACCAAATACGTTTCCCCAACTTTGCTGTTACCAAAGCTGCAACCTTGTCTCAAGAACAGGAATCCTCGGATCCGTGCTAAAGCATCGTTATGCTTCTCCCGAAGTGTTCCTCGACTGGTAATACAAGTTCAACTTCTGTTCTTTCCACATATATCTATCCTATGTAACAGTTCCAACAACTCCTAGCGCTATGTTATACATGTTTCAGGGCGTTGAAGGTATTAAAGAATACGGAATCGATAAATTAGTTCAAGCAGCCGCTTCTCAACTTAGCGATCAGCTCCCTGAATCTCGGGAGGCTGCACGGACCGTCCTGCTAGAACTTCAGAACGTGTACGAAAAAGCTCATCCTCTCATCAAACCAGAGACATCATCATCGCCAGAGGGAGAGAAAATCTCAGAGGCAGAGCCAATTACTTGGGAAATCTTCTGCCAGTCAAAGCTATCCGCTCTAAGCGCACAAGCCGTTCTTCGTGTCACTAGTGTTGTGCCAGTGACTGCTCGGGAGGTGTTGGTTACTACATGTTCATCTCCTACATCACAGTTATAAGCCTTTTCTTCTACATTTTGATTTTATTCTTAAAAGAAAGTTTGCTATGGAGCACACGGGGTCACATGGTATTCTACCGAATTGGCAAATCATGGACCGGTAAAGAGAGTGAAAACCGGTTATGAAAATTCTTGGTTATTTTTCTTTTCGTAAGTCCTCTGTCTTCAGTCTTCTTCAGTGATGTTCTTCTTTTTATTTTTGTGATTTGTATATGGTAAAATAGCCCGAGTCTATTGGTTCAATTCTTTGACGATAATTCAAGTTTCATTCTTCACATCATCCTTGTTGGAGTTTTGACTAGATCTCGACTCGGTAGTATTAGATGGTTATAAGTTAATCCACCTTAGTCATTTACAAATTTTGGATTAGTTTAGTGGTCAGATTATTGTGCTTTAATCCAACGAACCTAAGATTGTTTCCACCAGTCAAACTTTTATTAGATATAAGAATAATAAAGTGTCTGAGATCTGAACATAGAGTGAAGATAAATATAGCCTTTAACTTAGCCAAGTAAGGTGAAACAATAGTAACAACAATCTCTAAATAATTCAGCTCTGCGAGAGATCGCGGCTTCGATTAGCTGCAGCAACAACAGCATTCATAAGATTTGCACGGAAAGAACCCTTCTCCAGTTCATGAACTCCAGCTATTGTAGTCCCGCCTGGTGAAGTAACATCATCTTTCAACACTCCTGGATGCTTCCCTGTCTTGCTCACCATTGTTGCAGCTCCAAGAACCTGCCAGAGAACACACACACAAAGCTCAGGAGGCTTTATTTCTAGTTTCGGTTATTCAAGAGAAGATTAAAGAACCTAAGAAGGGATTCACTGACAGTTTGTGAAGCTAAGCCAAGTGCGAGTTCTCGGGGTAAACCAGCAGCTACTCCTCCATCAGCTAAAGCTTCAATGGCTAAGAATATGTATGCTGGTCCACTTCCACTGTAATGGTTTCATGGTTACTTGATTAGTGGGAGCGACTTGAACAACTTTAAGCATTTTGATAAAACCGTTACGTACCTGAGACCAGTAACAGCATCAAACATTTTCTCATCAGCTTTAAACATCTTCCCCACCGACCCAAACAACTTAGCAACAAGTGCTCCATCTTCTTCAGTTGCCGCTGTTCCCAGACTCATCACTATTTTACACAAAAGACATAAATGTTCATCATCTGTACACATTTCATGGTCTCAAAGGAAGAAAAACAATCACAAACATTTCAGAAAGAAGAAAAACACAAATAAGGAGTCTAAGAGAAACGAACCTGAAGCACCCTCACCAACTGCAGCTGGTGTATTAGGCATCACCCTTATGAATCGATCATGACCAGCCCATTCCTAACATAAACGAAAAAAAAAAAAAAAAAATCTTTCAGCTTTTTAACCAAACAAAACTCTAAAAACTAACACTGTCACACCGTTGTTAGTGACATAAACATTTCCAAAAACCCGGGAAATTAAACTAAATAAAGCTTATTATTCAGGAATAATGAAAACTCTTAACATATATCTGACTAAGTATACTCCTTTTAACTACAAAGAGATATAACCTGTAGATCTTTCAATTTAATTCCAGCTGCAACTGAAACCAGAAGCTTATCCTTAGAGAGCTTAGACCTCAACTCCGTGATAGCCTTCTTAACTGCAAACAACTTTAAATCAAATACTAGATATTCCAAGAATGAATAATAGATCACACAGATCTCAAAATATCTTTCTTTTTTTTTTTTTAATTCGGTTGTGATTCAATAAAGACAGAGAAACATACCAACTTGAGGTTTCACAGAGAAAATCACAACATCACTTTCTTCAACGACCTGTCAACGTAAGTTCATCATAATAGTTTCTATCTTAAGAGTCTAAGTTAAAAAAGTAAAAAAAAAAAAAAAAAAAAAAAGATTGGCTTCTCTTACTTCTTCGTTACTGGAGAAGACACTGACGCCAAAGGATTGAAAGACATCATGGCGTTCGGGATTGGAGTGAACAGCTGTTGACATATGATGCGGAGGAAGCAGACCAGAGGCAACTATACCTCTGGCTATACTCTCCGCCATCTTCCCTGCTCCGATGAACCCCACCGTCAAATACTCCATCGGTACCGGAGGTTTCTCCATCGGGAAAAAAATTACGGATTTGGGTTTGTTCACTCACTGGTTCAAGTTACTTAAAGTGTGACAAGTGTTGGACCGCGCACGTGCAGATCACGTGGCCCAATAAACAGAATATAAACTTACAAAACGGCCCGCTTTGATAATTATACAATCGTGTCGTTCGTACATAGGGAAGTATAACATCACCGCGTTTTTTCTGTCTAAACAAACCAAAAAACGACACGAACACCTTAAATTAGGCTTTTTTTTTTTTTTTTCGGAACTGCTGAGGACTGAAGATGTCGATCAACCTTGAAATGAGCGTGGAAGAATCTTTTCACCTGTTTCCAACGATGAAACAAAAGCAACATAATTTTATTATTAGTACATGAAGGCCAAAGAGTTAAAGAAAGTGTTCTTGGTTTGTAAAACTTGCCTCTTTAAAGGAACGTTGGATAATGAAGTCTCTGAGTTTTGTTTCTTCTGATGCAAACATTACAATGTGACTAGGCGAGTTTGACCAGTTTCCAGCAATCTCTGATACGAAACCTAAAGGGTCCATCCAGGGCCGGCCCGGAGGGCAAGCCACTCAAACGACTGCTTAGGGCATACAATTTTAGAGGGCATATTTTTTTTAAGTTTTTATATATATTAATAATTTTGTTTGTACTTATATGTAAATATAATTTAGAGTTCTATTGATAATAATACTATTTGTAAGAGTTTTATCTTTGGTTATAAAACTTTTATTAATAAACATATTCAATAAATGTTTTGTTAAATGGTAATTATTTTTTAAATATAAAATTTTATACTAAGAAATTATTTTACTAAATTTATTATTTGACAATACTGAATGTTTAAGATAACATTGACTGATATTGCCATGCAGTTAACTTGCTATTTTGTTTACCAATCATTATCAAAATTGAATTTGCTTATAATTTTAGTGTTATTTATATTATATATTGATATTATATAAAACATAGTATGACATGTTGATATTAGATAAATTGGTTTATGGTTTCAAACATTCCTGGCTTAGATAAGTTGGATTGTGTCTTTAGTTTATTTTTTATATTTTTTTGCATTTTATGTGAATTTTTGTTATTTAAAACAAAACAAAAACTTAATTTTTCTAGAAGGAAAATTTCCACAAATCGACGATTATTCATGTACTCAGAACACATAATTCACAGACATATATTCTTACATGCAGTGTCAGAAAACAGTCATTTTTTATCGTTCACATGGACGCAGAATTACCAGTTTGGTTTACAAATTCTTCTGAATCTGTTGTCGTTTGTTGATGAAAAAAAATAAAACTCAAAAATACATGACATGCAAATCTCTTTTCACAAAATTTTTGCTTGGGGCATCCGAAAATGTTGGACCGGCGCTGGGTCCATCAAGAATCTGTCTGACTCGTCAAGTTTTCCCTTCTCTTCACTGTTTGAAAAGATGAAGAAGAATGGTCACTTTTAGTTTCTCCGACCTAGCCTTGCATTCGAACTATCAAATAATGTAAAAGTGGGTTGGCTCTTCAATTTGTATGTAATGTTTCCCTTTGACTAGCCTAGGTTAATCTTGTAACTTTCATTGGCGGCAAAACTACCAAAACACAAACCGTTGAATAAAATAAAGCAAATGACTTTAAGTATGGTGCAGAGTAAGGATACAGACCAACTTGCAACACTTTCTCCATATAAAGCATCAGAGAGTTTATACAAGTAGAGAGATCACCAAGAGCTGAAAACACGGATTGCATGAGACGTGGAGCTTTGCTCTTGCACACATAAAAGAAAGGTGTTGTAATTTGCAACACATCAAAACCATTCTATCTTACCTTAATCTGAACATAATGAGAGCTAAATGTGATAACATCACACCATTAAAACGTAACAACATACACGAATCAAGAAACGATCAACATTTCTTGTGAACATAAAAAAAAAGGCTCCACCTTTTCCTAACTTCCATCCAAGAACACGGAAGTTACGTAAAAGCCCAAATGAAGCTGACGTGTTACAGACACGTTGGGTTAGTTCACTGTTTAGCCATCCATATTATTATGGGCTTAAGAGTATATTCATAAAAGGCTCAGGGTCTGACTTGCTTAGGCCCATCTTGTTATGGGTTATCTTTAAGAGACACTACAGTACACATAAACGATGAGGTTCGACAAAGATTAGCTTCTAGAAAGAAAGAAACAACAAAACTCTGCGTAACGTTCCGATGCAAAACGTTTAAGCTAACAGGGTTTAAGTGGACATATGGCCCAACACGACTGACGAGGACAGCCCTTTTTTACAAAACTGAGTCTGTAACGCCTAACTTTCTCATGAATCCATGGACCGTGCACGACATGTATATATTATCAATATGTATGGTGAATAAATATTAGTATCACATACTGACATACGTTACTTTACATACATGTATTTTATTTTATTTTATTTTTACTTTTTTATTTAACGACCAAGTTACCTCGTTATTTAGTTTAAAGCATTTACAGTAGATAATAAAATGAATTATCGATCTATTTCATAAAATATATATATATATATCAAAGTAAGCACATAAAATTGAATATATTTAAGGATGAGATTACTTGGTACGTGTTGTATTAGCACCTGAATGTAATGATGATATCAACTATAATAGGTGAGTTTGAATAAGTAGAGATGTTAAAAAAAAAAAGAATTAAGTAAAGATTTTCGTGTTCTTCAGTTTGTTCTTTGATTTGTTCTCCTAGCATTATATTGTGTCTAAAATAAAGTTTATCATGCTATGGACTTTGCATACCAGTCATGCGGAGACGTGATTAATTAAATGGAGAACGTTTGCTCCATACAGTCTTTAGTTTTTAGGACAGAACTATCTGTGAGAAAGCTCAAAAGGTTTCTCGTAAA